CCCCTTGGATTTTATTGTATTTAATACTTGTATTTTATATTTGTATTATTTATGTTTTTATTAACATTTTATTTTAAATTGTTTTGTTGTGAACCGCCCAGAGTCCCTTCTTGTGGGGGAGTTGGGCGGTGATATAAATTTGACATATAAATAAATAAATTAGAGACTTCTGGTGATCGAGAGTGAGGGCAGGCATCAGGGATTATGTTTCATTTTGTCATGTATGCCACTGGGTAAAATCTGTTCCTGGAAGGCCAGGTGGCTTGCTGCAACCTCTAAGTTCACCTTTGAGCTTAGAGATTGCAGGAACCCTGGGACATAGTATGACTGGATTTTATTACTGATCTCTCCCTGGTACAGATTTGTACCAACATTCTGATAGTGGTGGTTTTGTTTAAAAGCTTGGCCCATTTCATTCCTTGCAAGGGCCTCCCTACAGCTCAGGAAACAGCACAACTTTTTAAAGACCACATTTTTAGATACAGAGCACTATTCAATCATGTGATCTCAGATCACGGATTGCAATTTACTTACAAGTTTTGGAAGGCCCTCTTTCAATTATTGACCATTAAAATTAATCTTTCTTCTCATCACCCAGCAACAAATGGAGTATCTGAGAGGTTGAACCAAATATTTCAGCAATATTTACAGTGCTATTCCTGTTATCAACAAAAAAATTGGACTGAGTTGTTGTCACTTGCAGAATTTGCCTACAACTCAGTACATTCCTCCATTGGCATGTCCCTGTTTCAGGCAGTTTACAGCTTCTTCCCCCCACCCCACCCCCCATGTTGCCCACCAGAACTCCTGCATCTGCAGTTCCTCACATTTCCTGCAGGAGAGGTAAGCAGCAAAGTGCCTCTTTAAAAAATAGCTACAGTCAGGTCCAGAAATATTGGGACATCGACACAATTCTAACATCTTTGGCTCTATACACCACCACAGTGGATTTGGAATGAAACAAACACAATGTGCGTTAACTGCAGACTGTCAGCTTTAATTTGAGGGTATGTACATCCAACTCAGGTGAACGGTGTAGGAATTACAACAGTTTGCATATGTGCCTCCCACTTGTTAAGGGACCAAAAATTAAAGCTGGCAGTCTGCAGTTAATGCACATTGTGTTTGTTTCATTCCAAATCCACTGTGGTGGTGTATAGAGCCAAAGATGTTAGAATTGTGTCGATGTCCCAATATTTCTGGACCTGACTGTAGATTTGGCAAAAATATTAAAGCTGGCAGTCTGCAGTTAATGCACATTGTGTTTGTTTCATTCCAAATCCACTGTGGTGGTGTATAGAGCCAAAGATGTTAGAATTGTGTCGATGTCCCAATATTTCTGGACCTGACTGTAGATTTGGCAAAAATATTAAAGCTGGCAGTCTGCAGTTAATGCACATTGTGTTTGTTTCATTCCAAATCCACTGTGGTGGTGTATAGAGCCAAAGATGTTAGAATTGTGTCGATGTCCCAATATTTCTGGACCTGACTGTAGATTTGGCAAAAATATTAAAGCTGGCAGTCTGCAGTTAATGCACATTGTGTTTGTTTCATTCCAAATCCACTGTGGTGGTGTATAGAGCCAAAGATGTTAGAATTGTGTCGATGTCCCAATATTTCTGGACCTGACTGTAGATTTGGCAAAAATATTAAAGCTGGCAGTCTGCAGTTAATGCACATTGTGTTTGTTTCATTCCAAATCCACTGTGGTGGTGTATAGAGCCAAAGATGTTAGAATTGTGTCGATGTCCCAATATTTCTGGACCTGACTGTAGATTTGGCAAAAATATTAAAGCTGGCAGTCTGCAGTTAATGCACATTGTGTTTGTTTCATTCCAAATCCACTGTGGTGGTGTATAGAGCCAAAGATGTTAGAATTGTGTTGATGTCCCAATATTTCTGGACCTGACTGTAGATTTGGCAAAAATGGCATACAAGCAAGCCACAGAAACAAACAGAAAAGATAGTGCCAAGATTACTAAAAGGGATTGGACATGGCTTCTACGAAGTTTTTGTCTCCTGCCCAACCTTCTAAGAAGGTAGACTTGAAGTTTATTGGCCCCTACCCAGTGATTCAGCAAATAAACCCAGTGGTCTTTCATTTGTAATTACCAGCATCGATAAAGATTCATCCTGTTTTCCATCAGTCATTGCTTGTGAGGGAGGTGCTCCCTCCCCCTACAGTTTAGACTAGAACAACTCCACCTCTCTCAATCCCGGTGGGTGGGGAAGAAGGGTATGAAATAGAAGCTATTCTGGACTCTAGACGCAAGGGGAGACATTTGGAATGTCTGATTCAGTGGAAAGGCTATCCAGAGTCAGAGAGATCATGGGAAAATGCAACAGATGTGCAAGCCCCACAACTTCTACATCACTTTCATCTGCAATTGCTATCTTGAGTGGATGACCAGCTAGCACAGTCTCATATATTTGAAGCATCTCATGAAAAATGATGATGGACTAGGAAAATCATTATGCTAGGCAAGCTTGAAAGAAATAGAAGTGAAAGCCAAAAGATAAGGTAGATGAATGGGATTAAAGGGATATATAGTGCTATCTTTGAAAGAACTACAGTATAAGAACTACACTATAAGGATATTCCAGGAGACAAGTTGAGATAGCAAGCATTTCTCCATGTATATTTATACTTCATCCACCAAACTAAAGAAACTAAATTTAATCAATCTGTAAATTTCACAAACTAACTTAAAAACACAAATTCAGTGAAATATACAAAGTTGACCCAAATAGAAACCTGAAAATCTCAGTCTGTTCATGAAGCACAGTACAGTCAGGTATTTTGAGATATGTTCTGAATCCAGAATATAAATGAAACCAAATGAAGATTATTCATAATAACTCATGTAGTGTTTCATCAGAGCTGAAGGGTTATTACAGCAACCCTAATTCCTGTAATAAATCTGCAGCAAGAAGCACTAGAAAGAGTGACCACTACCAGGGAAATGCTTGGTCAGATGAAGGATTTCATTATTGTAAAAACTAAATAGTTTGGTCCTCTGTGTCCAGTACTGATTGATGTAAGGCCTGCTTAACGTACTCATAAATATAAATGATAATGGATAAAAATTAATGCAAATACGCTGGAGTTCTCAAAAGGATTTAAATCTAGACAGGATAGAAAGGAGTCCAATTGTCTGTCTCTTTCTGATAGCCTTACTGATTACACTGATTGCTAAGTTTACAGAACTAAAACAATATGCATAATCAATGCCACCTTTTCTAAAATTCTTAGTAATTTTTTCCTTACTTACCAGAAAGTTGTATAAATGTAATTCTTTCTGAACCACGACGACATATATTTCGTATACCATTTAGGGTTGCCTCCAGATCTATGGTCAAATGTCTTCTTTGGTCAGTTAACTTCTGCAGCTTATGCTCTATAAAAATTCATAATAAAATATTACTGTACATAAAAATAGTTAAGTTCATTAAGTTGATCCTTAGTATTATCTAGATTTCAAAATTTTAATTAGTAGCTTCTATCTAGTATTTCTGGTGTCACTTCCAAAGTGGAATGAAATCATGCATCTCAAAAACATTCATCTTTTCCCAATTGGTTAAATTTCTCTGCATTTCATACACTGCATAATGGATGTTAAAATTATTAAATGATTTTGGCAGGATACAGATGCTGTCTATATTCTTAGAAATGTAATCTCGTTTGATTATGGGATTATATTGCTGCTGCGCTGAGAATGTCAACAGAACTATGGATAAATTCCTATGCTTCTCTCTCCCATAGCATTATCTTTAAACAAGTGCATAGGTTGAAATTAAGCTGCACTGTTTAAATCTGAGCTTAAGTTAAAACTCCCTGATCCTGTTTCTCTATCGTCTACTTTTTATATGGCTAAGTTAATTTAACTTTTTTGCAGTTGAACAGTTTTTCTGACACAACTGTAATACATATGATCCTTTACTGCAATAAGCAAATGCTTCCTGTTCTTATAGCACTGTAAATTTGGGCTGTCAAAGACTAATACCTATCTTTACAACTAAGAACGAGCACACCAGCAGCACATTCATTGAAGAAGACAGTCTTTCTCAACCTGATGACTTCCAGATTAATCTGTGAGCACTTTGCAGGCCTTCCTGAAATTGTTTTTCACTTAGTATAAAATGAATGTGTAACAGTAGAAAGGCTAATGGCAAACAAGTATTTTCATCCCAAGCACCTGTTTAACTATCTGATTCCAAATATGCAAGGGTTGAATGAAAAATAATGCCTCCACTTCCATAACTTAATTTTAAATAAGGATATTTTAATAAATGAAATGGGAAAATTATGCTTGAAATGAACTCTTTTGTCACCTGTATTCTCCAGATAATCACCACCATTCACTATACACTTCTGACAATGATGAAAAAGGTTCTTAAAGTTCCCATGAACGAACTTTACACTTTCTTTCTTCAACCACGTCCTTTCCACCTCTTCATTTGAATCAAACAGAAGCCCCCAAAGGTAATCCTTTAATTTTGGGAAAAGATGGAAATCTCATGGTACTAAGTCTTGACTATATGGCAGATGGAATAAGAATGTAAGATTAAACTTCACAATTGTCTCTTGAATGGTTCTTGAAGTATGAAGTCTAGTGTTGTCATTTTGCAATGATGTTTCCTTCTTGTGCTTCCAAACTCTACTTAATCATTGTTTCAAACATGTGAGCGTTGTAATATAGCACACTGAGTTGATAGTGGGGTCAGATTCAAAGAAATCCATGTTGACACCATCTCTGTCCCAAAAAACAGTAACTATGAGTTTTCTTGCTGAAGCCTGGGATTTGCATTTTTTTTATAGGTGAATCTTTGTGGCAATATTCCATACATTGGGTCATAATGATGAATCCTTCAGCAGTCAAAAATTCAATCACAGCACACTGCTTACTCACTGCAGACTTCTGTTTCACAAATAGCAACACAACCCTTTCTCACAGCCATTCTCAGCAGCAGAAAGAGCAGACAGTAAAGAATACATCAAAACTTCTAGCATGTTAGAACTGCCATCCATTGGTGACTTCTAACATTGGAAGCATTACTTTTCATTCAACCTTCATCTGTATTTAAGAAACAACATCACACGTACCACTGACGCTGCCTGGTTGAGTAGCTGCAATTTCCTGAATTTCTTGTAGCTCTTTCTGATTAGATTCTAGTGCTTCCAGTAACTGTTGCTTCTTCACAGACAGTTCATGCAACTCATGTACTTCCTTTTCTGCAATTATAAACTTTATGAAGGACCCCTTCAGAAATATTTTTAAGCTCCTCACTTTTCCATTGCTTACCAAAAAAAAAAAAAAAAAGCAACCTTTGATAGGGCCAAATCTGAACATCTAAAGGACACTTAAGGTACAGATATCTAATCTGATTATTCCAGGAGACAAGTTGAAATAGTATTTCTCCACACAGTCACTAGAAGATGCACCAGAAGAATTTCTCCTTTATGACTTTAATAATGGAGACCAGAATACTCAGTGATAGAAGCACAAATTCAATTTATTTCAGTATCAAAGACTGCAATAGTAAATGTAAAAAGGGACAGAGGTGGAATCTCCTTATAATGGCTTATGCAAATAAGCTGACCCAGACAGAAACATGAACATTTGTGCTTCCTAAAGAAGCACAGCAAAGTCAAATATTTTAAGATAAGTTCTGAATCCAAAATATGAATAAAACCATATGAAAATTATTCATAATTACTTGCATAGCACCTCATCAGAGCCGAAAGGCTACTATAAATATGCAGCAAGGGGCATCAGAAAGAATGACCATTATTAAGTAAATGCTCTGTCAGATTAAATGTTTATTATCATAAAAACCAAAGTGGGGATCCATGGGGTCCAGTACTGATTGACATAAGTTCTGCTTAAAATACTCAAATATAAATGCCAATGAAAATTAAAATTAAAAAAAATGCAGGTACCTTGGAATTGTCAAACGTATTTGAATGGAAGGATCGGGTGGAAAGAACTGCAACTGCCCTTCTCTCTCTATAGCCTCACTGATTACACTGATTGCTAGATTTACAATATGGAAACAGTTTGCATAATCTTTGTCACCTTTTCTAAAATTCTTAGTAATATATTTCTTATTTACCAGAAGGTGGTATAAATGTAGTTCTTTCTGAAGCACGACAACATACATTTTGTATATCAACTAAAGTTGCCTCCAGATTAGTGCTCAAACATCTTCTTTGCTCAGTTAACTCCTGCAGCTTATGTGCTATTAAAAAATCCATAATAAAATATTATTATGCATAAAAATAGTTATGTTCATTAAGATCATTCTTAGTATTATCTAGATTTCAAAAGTTTAATTATTACCTTGTATCTAATATTTCTGGTATCACTTCCAAAGTGGAATGAATTCCTGTCTCCCCAAAATCTCTACCCACTCACAACTGATTAAATTGTGCAACATTTCATGCATCACAGAATGGATATTAAAATTATAAGAACGATAGTGGTTCTGCCTATTATCTCAGGAATATAACCCATCTTGATTATGGGATGGTAATGCTGCCATGCTGAGAATGCCAGCAACACCGAAGGTATGTTCATATGCCTCTCTCTCCACAGCTTTACCTTAAAATAATACATAGGCCAAAAATTAAGATGCGAAGTTCAAATTTGAGTTCAAGTAAAAACTCCCTGATCCAAGCTCTCACTCCTCTGATTTCTATAATGCCAAGTTAATCACTCTTTTGCAGTTGAATAAGTTTCCTGACACAGCATTAAGTACATGTATGATTAAGTATCATGATTCCATGGATAAATATCCAAGTGTAAGAAACAGCAGCTGAAATACCAGTGGCATCACTTGGTTGGGTAGCTGCAAGTTCCTGAACTTCTTGTAGCTCTCTCCAATTAGACTCCAATGTTTCAAGTAACTGTTGCTTCTTCTCAGATAGTTCATGTAAATCATATAATTCCTTTTCTGCAAACAGAAATTTTCTGAATAAACACTTGGGTATTATTTTTTAGCTCCTCATTTTTTAATTGCTTGCAAAAAAACAAGAAAACTCCTTAACAGTGTTTACTTTGAATATGAAAAGTCCACTTAGGCTGCACATGCAGCCTAAGACCACTTAGGGAGCAGACATGGCTTGAATATTTCCTACCCTTTTATTTCCTTGCTTACCAGAAGGACGTATAAATGTAGTTCTGTCTGAAGCCCGACGACATACATTTTGTATACCATCTAGAGTTGCCTCCAGATCTATGGTCAAACATCTTCTTTGCTCTGTTAATTCCTGCAGCTTATGCTCTATAAAAAATCCATAATAAAATATTACTAGACATAAAAATAGTTAAGTTCTATAGGTTCATCTTTAGTATTATCTAAATTTTGAAATCTTAATTAGCAAGTATCTAGTATTTCTGGTGTCACTTTCAAAGTGGAATAAAGAGCCCACTTCCCTCAAACCTCCACCCGTTCACAAAATTAAATTGCAGAGCATTTCTTATATTGCAGAATGGATATTAAAATTATTAAATGGTTTTGGAGGCTAGGGTTTCTGCCTATATTCTCAGGAATGTAACCCAGCTTGATTACAGGATTTTAAACAGGTGTGCTGAGAATGCCAGCAAAATTGATTCCAAATATATATTCATATTTAAATACAAGAAACCACAACATACATACCAGTGACACTGCCAGGTTGGATAGTTGCAAGTTCTTGAATTTCTTGTAGCTCTTTCTGATTAGATTCCAGTGTTTTCAGTAACTGTTGCTTCTTCTCAGATAGTTCACGCAACTCATGTAATTCCTCTTCTGCAAGTAGCAGAGCTAGCTTTAATAAGAAGTACTAAGAAAAAACTTTTAAGATTCTGACCTGATCTTCAGCTTTACTGTAATTGTTCCCTCCTCCCCCTCTTTCCCCTCCAAAGAAGTAGGGGAGAACATGCCATTTTGCTTTCTTCTCAGATTTATATTTTGCAAAACTGCTCATACAATTTCTCCAAAATTTCTCCTCCACATCCACCAGATTGAGTGAACTGAAGCTAAGAGAGATGTACATTAGACTGCTTTGCTGGGCACTAGGCAAGACTGAAATGAGAATTTAAAAGAGAAATAATGTAGGGTAAAGGACAAAGAACATAATATACAGTAAAAAAACAAAAAAAAACCCTGAACTGTGCTCTTAGAGGAAGACCAGCTTAAACCCTAATCTATTGGCTCAGTAAGCAGAGACTGCCTAGGATGACAGAATGGCCTTTCCTTACCAAAGTAACCATGGCCCTGCCTACATTTTCCAGTGGAGGCACTATCCCAAGGTCAAAAAATGTCCTCCATGAGGTACTGATGAATTATGAAAAAAATTATCAAGGTCCAGTCTTATCATTAGATTATCTCAGTGAAAGTTGCTTAAAGCCACTAAAAATGTATCAAATATGTGTCTTCTCAACAGAAAAAAGTGATCTTCCTTAGCCTATCCATAGACAGTACATGGGTGCAACTGTTCTTTCTGAGGTGAAGTCGACTGTGTGCCCTTACCACATGAAAAAATCTGAAATGCACCCTTTCTGGACATTCACTATTTTGAACTTCTAGGTACCAAACTGAGCTGTTCAACTCATAGTCAGTCAGCATTTGCCACATGAATTACAAGGGTGCATAAGCAGTAAAAATACATTAATTCCAAAGACTGAGTTTGGTAGAAAAGTGAAATATCTAATATCATCATGTTTGCTTACAGAGAAATAAATCCTTATTTCTCCATAATTATATTTTTATAATTATTAAAATTATTATATTTCTTTATAATGAATCCTTTTTAAGATGTAAGTCTTATTTGTGGTTTACAAGTTATTGATATTTAAAGTTTAGAAATTAAAATTGCCTCACTAGTATACCAATATCAGTATTTATTTGCTTTGCTAGTTATGGCTGTTGCTTTCAAAGATGGCAGTCAAATATTAAGATCAGAAAATGAGATAAATGTGACTGTAGCAAAAATCATTTCCAATTAGGAAAATAAAATCTCACTATAACTGTATCCTTTAAAGATAAAGTTTTTTTTAACAAAAAATAATTGAATCCATGGCAAAGACTCAAGATAGCAAAATGCAATTCCAAGAAACAGAATTGAGCATTTCCAGAGCAACCCAAAGTTTGCAGGGTCTTAAAGTGTAGCTGATTCAATTTGACATTAGCTTTTGAAGATTAGCATTCCCTTAATACTAATTCAGCTACATAAAGTGTTAATTTCAGTTTAGCAAGAGAAATAGCAAGAAAGGTGGGGTGGCAATGAAATACATTAATAGTAGTCTGTGACAACTGAACTAAAGTCTGACTACTTGAGAAAAAAGAGCAGTAACTGATTACAATCATCTTAGCATCTGTCCCATATAGCACATTCAGGATGTAAAAAGTTTCTTCTCAAGAGAAGAGGGGAATTGCTCGGGTTAAATGTTGCTGTTTCCAGGGCATCCTACATGGGCATGAATGTATGTTGTACAGATAAGTAGTATGACAATTTCAACTTCCAAGCTCCAGAGAATGGGCCTCCTTAATAAGAAAATGGTGAATTAGTTCCATACAGTTATTTGCCTGAATAGATGAGTTTGTTGATTATACAATTTTAAAGTTATATTTGTGGGAATTTTTCATTGTTCTCAGCAAGAGTTCTGATGGCAATAGCTCATTGCATACATCCAATGTACTCACCTCCAAGTTTGCTTTCAGCTGTAAGCCCTGGAGCATAAATCCATGCCTTTTGCATATTCTGTAGATTTGCCTCTAAATACCTAGCCAATTCCTTTCTTAATGCTGTTAATTCTTTTATTTTTTCATCTGTAAAAACAAATACTTTCTCCTATATTTTGTGTTCATTGTGTTGAAAAATACTTATTTTAAACTAATTAGCATTTTTATGTATGTAGTAATTTATTTGAAACAAATATACTATTTGAACAACTATGCCACATAGGTACAGGTAGTCCTCACTTAACAACCCAATTGGGACCAGCAACTTCACTGCTAAGTGAAGTGGTCACTAAGTGGGAAATCACATGACCGTGACTGTGCTTTCCAGCTGGAAAGAGAAAAGGCTACTCAGTTTTACACCTTCCGCTTTTGTTTGCCTCCTAACCACTCCCCCATCCTTTGGAATGTTTGAGTGCCTGCTTACTGTCTTGTACACATCGAAAGCAATACAATCACACTGCAACCCAGGGCTGGGAGCTGCGGGCATGCTATACAAACAGCTTACAGTGCTCTCTTGAAATCTCTTTCCAATCTCTCTGGTCTGCGGTGGGCGGGGGGGG